CTCGTCGACGAAAACTTGAGGTCACGGACGGACGGACAGACGGCCATGGCGAGCACAATAGTACATTTTTTCCATAAGTGAGAAAATGCGCTAAAAACGTGTTAAAAGGGTTCACAGGTAGAAAATAGCCTAGTTGAGCCCATTCCTCCTCTATGGTTCACAGGTAGAAAATAGCCTAGTTGAGCCCATTCCTCCTCTATTTAAGAAGGAAACTCGTTGCTAAATAATTGCCATCTTTGACCAGCAACTTATAAATGGACTTAAAACGTCGTACTGACAAATTTTTTAAACCAAATCACACATTTCACATCGTTTTATGTATGTGTTGAATGCAGAGTGATTTATCAAATGATTGATATTAATGCTTTGATTTTTGTTTTTTCAGATACGGTAGTTGCTCTGATCGTCCACTGTGCCTCAACAAAAGTGGAGTGCAACAATGGCGAAAGAAATCTTTGGTCGTTTACCACCCCTCCCATCAATCTCTGAAGTCTTGCGTATGTAAACGTAATTCGGAGTTCAGATTTAAGAATTTCAGTGAGTTCTGGAAAACTTTCTGCTAACTGAAAACATTCGATGATTCGACACTGGATACCGACGCTGTAGGAGGGCTCTCAGGCCCAAAGGTCATCCTTGCGGTTGTCCTGTGGCTTTAAGTCCTCCCAGAGTGGACACCCAGAAAAGAAGAAGGACGTTGTAGGAGCACCAACACCTGTAGGCTGTAGACCATGGTTGAACTATATACTACTAGTTCAACCCACCAAGACTGCCTACAGTCCAAGAGCATACCTGCTGAGTGCAGGCTGCACTTCTGCAGAGCTTTGTCCTAATGTCCGATTTGCCCAGCCCGTCCCAGGCGTCCCTTATTACCCCATTCGACTGTAGTAGGTACTACCGTACTGATGAGGTTTGGTTTAAATTTCACAGTGCTAAGTGCAGTTTTTCAAAGTGAGTTCAAGCCGTCAAACGATAGGTATGAGGAAAAACTGTTAATATGTTTTTTTTAGAGTCTGACATCATTGAGGTCAGGATTGGAATTTTTCTATTTGTTTCTGAAATGTCGCGGCTTCAACATGACGAATTTTCAATACATTTGGAATCTCGCGGCTCGATATTGCACTTTTGTTAACATTTGGATAGGAGGTAATTCATCTGACGGAAATCTCGCGGTTTCAGAAATGGCGGGAAACCTCTAGTTGCGGCCCTAAAGGAAGTCGTGAGTGGAGGGTTGAGAGCATAGTGGCAAAGCAGAGAGTTTTTTTAGACTCTTCCTCAAGTTCATTTTTGAGTCCTATAAGTAGAACAGTAAAGTATCTTGGATACCAGAATTATCATACATAAGCAATCTTTTAAAATCTCAAGTAAATGAGGAAATTAAAAATGAACTGATTTTAAAAAATCACTGGTTTGCCACTATGTCCCCTCCCCTCTCTCAACTTGAGAGAGGGGACTGGGGAGGGTGGGAAGCCCGGAAGACGTGTGAACGTGCCGTCGTGCCAAATTGTTTTAGTACGTGGTTTTAATTTTTTGCGATTGTCGAATTTTTATATTTTTTCTTAGGACAGCTGTGAATATGGTTATTATGGTATATTTGAATTTTTTTGTTAACATAAGAGCGTGAACTTTTAATTTTTTTGATGCTAGTAAAAGTTTTTTTTAGGCAGCGTGTTGCGTGTATGACCAATTTAAAGGTCGTGACCGTAGGTCACCACGCACCCCAATTCCAATTCCTGACTGTCTGAGACTAGGTACAAGTAGGTACAACTCTGTACAACTGTACAAGTACACCAGCAAATTATTGTAGAATAAATGTAGATAGCAGCATTATCACCTATAACTATTAGATATTGGTTTAAATCTTGAGTAAATGAGAAAGTTGAAAATGAACTGATCCTAAAAAATCTGGTTTGCCATTATGAACATATCTCTATGGCCTATCCGCCTATGCAGTGCCAGTATGCTATCCCTCTCATATGTCCACACTCCACAGTCCAGAAAGTGGGGGAATATAAAAAAATCTTTGATGATGCATCACTGCATCAGCACTCAGCAGCAAAATTTATGCCTTCAGAAGATCTTGCAAATACATTTGGATTTAAATTATTGCATTTTAGAAATTACTTGGAAATTATTGAAAATCTTAAAAACCACATGGCACAACTTCACAAGTGCACACAGGCCACAGCAAGGTTTCTGGTACATAGCATGGATCAGGATGCAGTGAAGCTTGTCAGAAATCAGTTGTGATGACTTTAAGTGTTGCAGTGCGTGGAGACTAAGGGATATTGTACTATTAAAGTTGCTAGCAGCATTTTCAAATTAAAAATTAGGTACCCAGTGACACATCTTGAAAATGGCTTGCATTTTTCAACGCTTTGGGATGAAGATCAATATCTTGGCATTTGGCAACGATGCTTGCACCCTCTGCACCCTGGTCATATGTCACAGGCTCACAGCATCGTTTCTAATGATATTTTTGGTTCTCAGATCTTCATACCTAACCAGTGCTGGCTGTGCTGCTACCTTGCATTTTCACTCATATGCTTCTTTTATCTCAGTTGCCTAAACATATGGTTATATACTTAATTTTTCTTATTGCTACTTGCACATCATTTTACCACCATTTTTTTTTCTTTCTTTAATTTTTGCATTGGCAGAACTACAATTTGTTAGGGTGGGGGTATATTACCATATAATAACTAGGAGGCTGTTATGATCTCACTAGGACTAGGTTGTTGAGGTTCTATTTAGTTTGTAAATGTCAAATGTTTGCATTATGAAGGCAACTTGAATTACGTTGAAATTAAATAGCTGCATGACCTTGGGTAAATATACTATGGTGTGGCAGGACATGAATTCAATTTACCGGTTATTAACAAATTATCTTTCTGAAATTTTGGGTATTTTAGTATAATATATACATAGATTAGTTAGTTTGTCTTGTGACAACTTGATTTACTATATGCTGCTTGGTTAGGTTAAAATTGTTCACTTTAGTACATATCATATGCAGCAAGGTTAGGTAATGTGAGCAAGTGAGGTTAGATTTAGTTCAAGTAAATTTTTTCTTTATGTATATACCTACCACTCAGACACAAGAATGCAATTATTTGTGATGTTTGTGTGTCTGAAGTAATGTCATAACCTGGGAGCATAAAGTAAATACAACAGTAAAAAGAATGAAATATATTTGAACAGCTCTCTGTTTCAATATAACTGATGACTGCCATTATTTTCAGGCACAGGGGAAATAGTATAATTGTTTATCAAGAAATTTGCTAAGGTGAATGTCTGAATAAGCAAGAAGAGCTGGCAGATCTGCATTCAATGCACCCTGTGACTGCCTTTGCCTAGGTGAGTGATCATCAAGACTTGTGTTATATATTTTGTTTTAAGGCTTTGCTCTCTGCTAGTTTCAATTTCTCTAACCAGTTGGGGGTCGATCTTGCTTATTGCTTCTACTGCTTATTGCTTCTACTGCTTATTGCTTCTCATTTATTGCTCTGCAAAAATGAGATTTATCTCATCTCAGAATCTCATTTATTGCTCTGCAATAAATGAGATTCTTGTCTGTTTTTCTCATCCAATATACTAGCTTCTCTTAACTACGTAATTCCTGAGGATAGAATTCTGCCATCAGTGGAATTAGTCCTCATGAACTAACCTATAATTTGAATACTATTTGTTGTAAAAAAAATTTTTTTTTCATAATAACATTTAGAGACCTGGAGTTTTATATTGCAGATATCTCAATTTCTCTTAAAAAGCAAAGATTTTCTGGCCATCAATTTAGTTTAAAAAAGAAAGGTGTTCAGCAATGTTGCTTCTGGAGGTCAGCGAGGGAGGCGCAGCAGTGAATAAAATACTTGAAAAAACACGTTTTTTTTGTAGACTAAAAAGTAGAAAATAAATTATGGTTCGCCCCCAAAAAACGTGTGTCGGGCAGATTTATGATTAAAGCGAAAAGCACACAACACACGAATTTTGGAAATTTGATGGTGAACGTACAGCCTCGCACGTTCACATATACAACATATATAACATATACGTCAGCGCCCGCACGTCATACTATATATATATATATATATATACTTTACTCAATTAAGCTAATTTAGGTATCTAATTGCTAGTTTTTATGATTGTATCTGAAATTGTTAGGCGAAAATAGCCTGCATGCCGAATTTCAGATCTCAAAAGCAATCAGAAGTGGGCTAATTTTCGTTTTCAATGTTAACAACAAATCCACAGACAAACAAACAAACGCGAAGCTAAGTTAAGAAAAACGTGTTAAAAGGGTTCACAGGTAGAAAATAGCCTAGTAGAGCCCATTCCTCCTCTATTAAAGAAGTAAACTCATTGCGTATTACCAAAACACTTGTTAAAATTTTTGCTCCAGAGCATCTTGATCAAGGCCTGAATTCTGGGAGATGCATTCCAACTGATTTGTATGATTAGATGCTGATCATTGATATTATTGTAATAATGGCCATCTTTGACTAACAAAAACTTATAAATGGGCTTAAAACGTCTTACTGATAATTTTTTAAACCATATGATATCACACATGTCACATTTTTATGTAACTGTTGTTTGCAGAGTGATTTATCAAATACTATGATTGATATTTATAATTTGATTTATGTTTTTTCAGATAGTCGCTCTGATCATCAACTGTGCCTCAACAAAAGTGGAGTGCAACAATGGCGAAAGAAATCTTTGGTCGTTTACCACCCCTCCCATCAATCTCTGAAGTCTTGCGTATGTATCGAGTTCATGCCAAGAAATCTCTCTCTCAGAACTTTCTACTGGAGCCTAAATTAACCAGTAAATTTGTCTCAAGAGCTGGCAAGATTCGTGGATCATATGTGTGTGAGGTTGGTCCAGGAGCAGGAAGCATCACACGCAGCATTCTGGCGCAGCGTCCCAAGCACATCGTAGTCGTGGAGAAGGACGCGCGCTTCTTGCCATCGTTACTTATGCTGCAGAATGCATGCCAGGGACACATGTCCGTTGTGTTGGGGGATATACTAAAATTTGATATGAGCAAACTCTTCCCAAGAGAAACAGAAAGACCTTGGGAAGATGAATGCCCCCCAATTCATATCATTGGCAACTTGCCCTTCAACGTTAGTTTGCCACTAATTATTAAATGGCTTAGAGCTATCAGCAAGCATGATAGTGCCTGGCGATATGGCCGGGTTAATATGACTTTATCTGTTCAGGAAGAAGTTGGGGTGAGAATAACTGCAGTTCCCGCGCACAGCCAACGCTCTCGTTTGTCAGTTATGTGTCAAAATTGGTGCGAGGTTGAGCACTTGTTCACTATCCCGGGCAGAGCCTTCGTCCCTCAACCAGACGTCAATGTGAGCATCATCAAGTTCACGCCTCGCATCCGGCCATTGATCGACATGGATTTTGATCTTTTTGAAAAGTTTGTCCGTGTAATGTTCAGTATGAGACAAAGGCAGTGCAAGCATCCTTTACAGCGGCTGTTCCCTATACACAAAAGGGAAGAATTGGCTACCAAGCTTTTCACTGTGGCCGACGTTGACCCAAATGCCCCATCTTTCAACCTTACTTTTGACGAGCTGGAGCGGCTCAGTTTAACGTACGGACTGATAGTAGAACAGCACCCTGAGCTCAGGCATTATGACCACATCAACCCTGCCTGCATCGCTGAAGATAAAGCGAGGATTTCATTACTCAGCTCTAAAAAAATCCCCAGGCTATCGGCCGAATAATGCATGGTCACGGTCCCTGTTACCAGTTCTCTTGCTTCTGTTCATAAGATGAAACTTAGCAACGTATGACTTAATTGACGTTCGCCTCATTCAACATCATGTGGACTTGATTGCATTTTCCCCTAAATGGTTACTTGAAAACGTCAGTATCTACTATCTATGCCCTCGAATGACAACTTTGATGTGATGCGTGGAGGGAGAATTGTTTTTGTTACCATTGATGTACATAAAGGTTGAAATAATAATACAATGTTGGATACATAACATCCTTCAATATAAATTTATTCGAGTAGTAGTTTCATTTTCCTGTCGTCATAAGAAAATAAGGCTGTAATGTACACAACACACTTAAAAAAGTGATTCCTTGAGTGATACGCCGCGGAGAAGCAATGCTGACAACTACTTTCCAAATTGAGCTGTGGTGGTGCAGTGGTGAGAGACTCCGACTCTCGCACCCAGCTCCCGGGTTCGAGCCCCCTGGGCTAAGTTCTTCCGGGAAGCTCGGCTCATGGTCAACTCAGCCATTCATCGAAGTCTAGTTGATAAAATGCGAGCCAGTGATGGTCGTAGAACTACCAGTGGCATTAAGTGCCCGGAAAAACTGACCTATCACCCCCCTCCCTAGTCCCCACTACCAGTATGGGCAATTACAAAAACAACAACTTTCCAAATTCATCGTCTCATCAGTGGAAGGCATCTTGAGTTACAGCGTGAGAGAAGGTCTCTGAAAAATTACTTCCAAATGAACTCTCGCTCATCAGATAGGAAGTACTGAAACTAAAGTAGTAATTTACTTTTGCCATAACATCGCTGTGTCACTTGCCACACATGAACAACTGACGTGCCGCACTGAGTTCATCCGCTGATGTAATTAGTTAAAGATATTTCCTGTACGAATGCCGCCATTTGCGGTTTGATTCGTATCTAATTTGAATACCGATATGATTTTTCACATCTTCATTTACGCATTAGAAAAATGATCCCTTCTTTAGACATGAGTGAGAAAAATGATCACTTCTTTAGACGTGAGGGAGAAAAATGATCCCTTCTTTAGACGTGAGGGAGAAAAATGATCACTTCTTTAGGCGTGAGGGAGAAAAATGATCCCTTCTTTAGACGTGAGGGAACTGACGGAATGTTTGCCCTGGCGTGGCATTAAGAGCTGGACGTGGAGGTGGCTGAGGTGTCGCTGAGAGCGTCCAGGGGCTTGGTGAGGATGCTGGAGGGCAGCATGAGGGGGTTGAGGCCAGGCACGTTGGTCAGCAGGCTTGCTGAGTTCGTCTGAGCTTTCACCAACTGCAACAAATCATCATTAGGCTATGTAACTTTGTAGCGAAGAACAATGCATTTAATTCTAGCATGGTGCATAATAATCAGGGTTGATATTGATCTGTTAATTAAACTCTGTCACGGCGAGCGATCATTTACTATTAATTGGAAGAAGATGTGACCAAGCTAACAACCTTTTGGTTCTCGTTTGAGGACTCGTTCTCATCATGTCTCACTATGCACGGCTATCCTGCCACTCATCAGATCGCCTCTACAACGGGCCGTGCCTCGTAGATGCAAAAATAACACTTGAATATAAGCTGTAGTCCAGGCACAAAATAAATCAGGTTTACCATATTTTTTGTTCACGAAAGTAGCCTCATTTGATCAGTTGATCTCAACAGCTTAATATTATATAAATAGTACGGACAATATTTTACTACAAGGACATGTAAACGTCATATTTCTACACTACTTATCTTGCTGATCATGCCACAATACCTGATCATACCTGGTCCAGTTGAGCATGAGCAATTTGTGACAATACAATTTCGTTTTACTGAACAATTGTATTGCTAAATATGCTTATAGTTCATCACACTTCATGCTTCAAATGTTTTTTGATTTATTTTAATAGATTTATTTGTCCAGTGGAATTAGTTTTAGTTGAACAGTTCTGTCTTAAAATGTGAACTTCCAGATTGCAAGGAACTACACTTCCATGACCTGAACAGTCGACATTATTGGATGGCAATTGATAATTCGAATTTTGATTTCAAATTGATTTGATAGTTCAAACTTCATAAAAAATATACATACTGTATATATTGCATGAATGATTTTATTGAGAGAACCTCGATCATCCTTGAACGCCAGAGTGAACACAACATCTCCAGGTGATCTTGTGATCTCGAAAATCTGTTTTAGATTTTCCAATTAAAAACGTTCTAATTCAATACACAACCCGAAAATTTACTCACAAACAGAAACTTTACTACCGCGAATTAAAAAAAAATTTAACATTTTCCAAACAATAGCAATATTTCAATAAAAATATTAATTTGTGCAATAAATGAGCGACTTCTCTGGAAGGATAAGGCATTATGAACAATCTTTTTTTCCGCCACTTTATAGAAGGCGGGAACCCCCCACGCGCAATTCTCCTGAAGATTGGAATTATGACAGGAGGAAAGAGAGCAGAAAACAATAAGATACAGGAATGTAAATCATTACAGAAAGCATTCAAAATATGCTAATCAAATGTTTGGGCATTTAAATACGTGAGGGCCGAATTTTTGTCTTACGAGGTTAGCTTTGCACCAGTATTTTCTTATACTTCTTTCATTATATTTGGGGAGTTTAGTAGTCTACCCGCCTTCATTCCTACCATAAAACAATCAACAACGTTTGCAGTTAAATGATGAAGACAGCGGTGCTGCGTGTTAATTAGTCACTGGTACTACTCTCCCTGAAAGTTACTTAGGCTAATCAGCAAAGTAATTATAAGGTAATTACCTTGGAGTTGACGTCTTAGGCTAATCACCAAGGTAATTACAATGCGTGTTAATTAGTCACTCATACTACTCTCCTTAAAAAGTAATTAAGCTGATCACCAAGGTAATTATAAGGTAATTACCTTGGAGTTGTTATAAGGTAATTACCTTGGAGTTGACGTTGTGCCTGTGCTCCTCAAAGTAAGGGTGCTGCTAATTATAAGGTAATTACCTTGCAGTTGACAATTAATTCATTATCATGGACTTGCAGAGATATTATAATGACGACACAAGACATAGAGGCGGAGGGTAAATTATGGTTATATATAAAATGCTTTCCATCAAGATCTTTAAAAATGCCTCAAATGATAAAGAGTAAACCAATTTTTCTAATTTCTGTTCATAAATTTTCTATATTACAAGTTTTGGTATAACAATGATAGGTATGCATTTGTCACCGGACGTTTGCCGCAAACTTCAATCTTGTCAGAATGTCTGGAGCCTTACAGCTAAACGCCGGCCACTATCTTGTAAAATTACTATGACATAGCTAAAAGTTAAACTGTACTGGGATTCCGTTGGTTAAAACTTCGGTTAACACGGATAAAACTCCACTCTTGTTTCAGTAAAAACAATTTAAAGCAGGCACATTCAAAACTAGGATTAACGTAATAAAACAGTGAACAAGCGTTCCGAGTGCAGCCACGAGATCTAGAGTTCGGGCATTATTTCACAAACGAGTCAGCAAGGCGGAGTGAGCTCAGCGAGAACCTCTCAGTAGAGCTGGCAGGACACGACTGACTTTTCAACTCACAGCCACACAGACCTGGGGCCATACTTTCAAAACTCGCTAAGTGGACGTAAGTACTTACGCTCTATTTTCTTGTCTATGATTGGGGGATTTTGCTTGAAAGGCCGTCAATGATTGGCTGATGAACTTACGATCTCTTAACTTTTTTGAAAGCATGGGCCCTGATCTCTTAAAATTTTTAAAACTAAAGTAGTAATATAAAGCTACGTAGCTCCTACTGCTGTAAGGTCTGACTATAATGTTACTGGCGCAGCTTCGCCAGACGCCGCAGAATAATTTGGCCAGAAGAATAAAAATGCACACGACAACAAATGCCAGTATCAATCGGGCAATAAATATTAGTGAACTATGATCATCGTTCACATATTAAACAAATTTATTATTACATTTAAAAACGACTGGTATCTTGCAGTGTTCTAGAGTCTAAATTGTCTCGAAATGTATGCCCAGGGCTAAGATAACAGAATCTGCTAGAATGTTAGGCGTGATTAGGAATTTCTTAATTAACATTATTGGATGTCTTTTGGAAGCAGTCCTCAGTGAAGCACTTGTCTGGCCTGACGTTCAAGTCAATTTAAAACGACTGTTTGACTCTAAATCAGATTTTCACGATCACAAAAGCACCTGGAGATGTTGTGTTCACTCCAGCGTTCAAGGATGATGTTCTCTCAATAATCATACCAGTTGAGCAACACATGTCTGGAGTCCACTAAGCATAGTTACTAGATGCAAATCTTTGTTCATTTCAAACCCTTGGCCCGCCAAAAGTTTGGAGTCAATAACAAAAATGCATTCAAACAGATGGCGGGGTTTGAAACAAAAAAATTCAACTTCAATGTCCACGAGGTAGTTTCTGAATCTGTACAAATTCTACATCATCTCACCATCAGTAATAACATTACTTTGAAAATATTAGGTTATTATTCACTCGCTATACTTGACGAAAATGAGTCACGTTGCGCACGATGGCACTTGCATTACGTATCATTAGTGCTGAGAAATCCGTTAATATAGCACCAATCAAGCAAATTTTTAAACCGTATGTTTATAAAATTGCTTCAGTTATTTGGCGACCGGAACAACTGAGATTATGAACTTATAAAGTTCATTACTCCTTAGTTTACGAGCTGCAACGTTGAGAAATCATTAGATTTTTGTCAACAATATCTATGGACTCGTATTAGATTTCTTTAGTATTTTTTGTATAATTAGATGAACAGTAGATGGGTGGAGATAAAAATGAAAGTAAAAAAAAAGATACAAAAGACCCCCAAAAACGCACAAGTAAAATTCGAAGAAAGGAGCTCTTGAGTTACCAGTAATATAAATGTGTATTAAGCATATAATACTCATTTTAAAAATTTCAAGCTATGAAACTGCACGAGTGTGAAACTTGAAAGTTCCTCTCTGGTTTCTGAACAGTGCACAACCTGTCTCTTATACACATCTAGANGGTTACCACACCACATTGTAGCAGGTTACCACACCACATTGTAGCAGGTTACCACACCACATTGTAGCAGGTTACTACACCACCAATGCTACCTCAATGCTCTAGTATGAACTACAAATGCCAACAGAACAAATGTCCTACAAAATCAAAATAACTAATTTAACTTGAGAACAAAGTAGCAGAAGTTGAATTCATCACCTTGCAGAGGCAGCATCTGATGAAGTTGCCTCAGCTCCGCAGTCTAAAGGATTTACCTGCCAGCAAGGAAACTCGATTACACCAAACATATGCAAACATGGGCATTTTCTCCCTGAAATTTTTTTTAGAGTTTAGAAAACATGTTAATTTTCTCTCTAAAAAATGTTCTCTCATCAGAAATAATCTTTAAAACATTTCCAGGTTTGAACAAAAATTGTTTTGTTCAAAGAATTGAAAATATAATTTAAATAAGGAATAATTCAGCATTACAAATTTGAAACAGATGAAAAAAAAGATTCAACAACATGTAGTTTAAAATTCAACATTTATGGCATCAAAATTCAACATTTAAGTAGTTTAAAATTCAACATTATGGCAACACATAGATTTCACAGATTGCTGCCATAATTTTTATTTGAAGTTATGATATTAGTAGAGTCTAGCAGCGGAAGAGTGCAGGTGTGAGGTTAAAGTCAATGCATGTGGTCATGTACTGGCATGTGCGTGAACCTGACCCTAGAGGAGTTGAGTTAGACAAACTTGAGCTTAGTGGGGCTGGGAATGTGCCCAACATAAGGAAAAGTCTACCCTTCTAACTCACCTTTAATGTTTAAAGCATTGCAAGAGCAATACTTTAACACAGAGTTAACCCTCTACCGCCTGACATGAGTAACCGGAGCAATATTGTCACAAGCCTACTTCCCAAAAAAGATACGTTCTAGTGAGCGCAAAATGACTTGCACTGATGGTTGCCGCCACGTATGATAACTTTAAAATGTTCTCTGTTGCATACAAATGTCCTCAAGTTGCAAAACTCAATAGTTTACAAATAATAGGTTGCAACACTCAATAGTTTACAAATAATTCAAGTTGAAAGTATGTTCCTAGAGAATGACATATGGCAGTAGGTGGTTAAAAGATACAAGAGCATAAGTACATGGTTCAAACTTCCCTTAAGACCAAGAAGGCAGAACCAGTCATAGTTGTCTGTACTACCACAACATTGACATGTAACCAGGTATAAGAAGAGAAGCAGAGACTTGAATATCCATAAGATGACAACGTCAAGTACACAGATAACAAGAAGAAGATCAAGAGTCTCAAACCACAGTAATCAAGAGGCAACTGTAACAGTAACACAGATCCAGAAGCCAACAGGATTTTTTAAGCCTGATTTCTTAAAGAAATAACTCTATTGATGTACTTCTGTAAACCTTGGGCCTGCTGCTCACAAAAGCACTGTTTTACCCTTCATTTGTGACCTCCATTATTTCAGTAAAAAAAAAATATAAGTTAAAAAGAGAACCCTGAGTGATCAGCATTCTGACCAGCATCAATAACTCAAAATTGCAATATGAAACTTATCAGTTTTAATTAGATTGGCTAAAGCTATCCAGCTGAGCTTTGAAGTAGTGTGCTGGTGTGAATGTATGCCCACAAGCTCTATTCACTGTGCACTTAGTGTGAAAATATCAGCAGATTGTATCATTAGAATTAAAAATTTACCATTGTCCATGAAGTTCCAGTATTCGAGTTACCACTGAAAGATTTTGTATTAATCCAGAGTGCCAGATGTTAGATACAGTAGCCAAATAACATACTAGTTATGCACATTTATTGCAAGCCCAAATCAAATATATAATAGAGCACTTGACAGAGTCAGGAACGATAGTAGATACAATATCAAATTAGATATAGCATTGTTATAGTGCTGCTGCTTGTACACTTGGCAGTTATGAACTGCATTCAGGCATCTCTGGGTTTCTCACTCATTTTGTTTGCACTTTTAAATGGATTGAAACACATCCTACACTTGTGATAGAATTTTTATTGTCAGCCATCAAGAGATAGCAATTTTGTTGGTGCATTCTGACTACAAATGATAAGAATTTCTCTTGATTGAAGAGTTTGCTTTGCCCCAATGAAAGGAACAGGTGTTATATATTTACTTTAATATACTGATATATAATGGAAATCCACTTGATGTTTCATCACCCACAAATGCAGAAGAGTTTAGAGCTCCACTTAAATGTGATGTTTCAGCACACACTTCTATTCAAAACAAATTTGAAAAACATTGTTAAACTGGCAATCTCTTCTTTATTTATACATGATGGGGTCATCCCAGCTGCACAAACTAGAAATTCTTCAATAACCCCTAATAACAATACCTGGAATTCTTGTATATCTGATAAGGATTGCTGTCGCAGAGCATTGATGGCGCCCATGAAAGCCCCAGACCCGATGATGGCCGTCAGTCGGTCAAGCATCTCAAGGATCTTGGCAGCACTTTTGGGCCGAAGTTGTGTTGGTGCTTCACCAGCCAGCAACTGACCAAAGTACCTGCAAAAATAACGAATAATAATTTTAACCCTTAAGGAGAAGATTGATATTCACCACCACTTAAGGATTCACCAGCAACATCTATGGCTGGTTCTGCACTCTTGGTCTTAAGGGAAGTTTGAACTAGGTTTGGAAAAATAAATTTCCATGATAATCGTGCAAAAATCTTATTTCAAATCAGAAGTACATTAATTTAATAAAGGGTGCAACACATGGAGAAAACTTACTTATAAATTTCACCATAACTTGCTTCATCATGGCTGCCTCCTTGATAATGTTCTTCCAGGCAAGATGCATATGTCATGGTCTGTAATATAGTTGGGAAATATAATTAAATTCTGGCAACATTGCATCTCCTTTGTGATTTTAACTAAATTAACTCAAATTATAATTGGAAAATTATATTTAAATTCTGGACATGAAAAAAGATTTGCCTATTTCATTTTCATGAATAGGTACTAAACTTCAATTAAAAAATTTTCAGCCATGTTAAGATTTTTCATTTGAGGCACAACAGCTTTCATAGAGATTAGCCAAAATGCTGATAATAAAATTTAGTCCAAACTTACCTTACTCAATAACTGAGAGTGATCATTAATTGGGGCAGATTTTGAGATTCTTGATCCAAATTTAACCTTATCACTTGTCCCTTGAAGTGAGTGAACTTTCATCAGCAAGTCAGACCAAACAACTAATGGAGAATCAGTTAAGTTAGTAGATGCTACATCTGACTTGCTTTTTTCACCATCACCCTCATCAGATGTCGGATTGCCTGGTTCCTCTTTAAGCTTCTCTATAATTTTCTGACGTGGCACATTCTGGGATGCTTTCATGCCTTTCACAATAAATTGCTGTTCTCTTCTGGCCTTTGATTTAAATTTACCAAGGATATGGGCCAAATCAGACTTAGGCCAGTGAGGCAAGACTGTGGCTAGCTTGTCAACATCTGAGCCATGAACATGCAGGGCGCTAGCAAGCTCCCACATTTCAGCTGGGGTTTTGCTCATTTTTCCTGATGGTAGGATTGAAATGAAACACAACTGAAAAAAAAAACAAGACAAATATTATACAAGTAGGGTTGAATAGGTACATTTATACATTATATATATTAATAAGGGAAGTTGGTATTTGTTTCTCAATCTATAAAAAAATAAGTTAATAATCTTTAAGATCTTTTAATTGCTTATTGTAAAGAATATTTAACAGAGCATACTTCTCCCGTGTACACAAGGTTTGGATCCTTTAGGTAGGACCAGAATTGACGAGCTCAGGCAAAACTCCATTTCTAACACCAGAACTTGCAATAGATTGTTCAGCAATTTTGTACATTATTATTTACTTATGTTATGATCATTTTATTGTTAGTTTACCTTGATTATTTTTTCTATACTGTTTATCATTTTGAATAACCTGAACTTTGTGTTCAAATTGTTTGTTTTTTTGTTTTCATAAATCGTTACAATCATCTACAAATTTTCATTCCAAACAATCCCCTGAGCAAAAAACCATATTCTTTATACTTATTAAACAGTTTTTAGTCTTTTTACCACTGGAAAAAAGGTGAAAAAATTTCCCTTAGGTAATACATTGTTATTTCCAAATCAAATTGAAGACAATTTGAGAGCATTTAAACTAACATCTCATTTTACTAACATTTTTATTTGGCAAATGCACAACCTGTACTACCAAAACCAGGCAGATAGGCAGTTGCCTGGTGAATACCCAGCAATGAATATATTTTTTAAATAATTTTCCTTCAAAAATAAGTTTAGAATCTTCTGCTAATAATTCCATTATTCTCATTTTACTTGCATGGATCACATATAAAGGTGCAAGGAATGTACAGGCACAGCACTCAGATTGTAGTGCCATGCTAAGGGGGCAAGAGAGGGAAATGCCCTTTGGAATTTCAATTGTTTACATTGCAATAGTGGGAAGTTGAAGTCAGCAAACAAGGCAATCTTTGATCTTGTAGCCTATGTAAAGAGTTGAACCCTTAACCTTGAGGTGAGAAGGGCCTGTGGCATAACCCCTGTCCATAATTCTTTTCACACTCAAGCTATACTTTGATCTCTCCCAATTTTGCACCTAGTGCCGTATCAGCGCAAGCTCTACTGCAACTTCAACCAGCCGTACACCTACTGCTCTATCTCTGTACAAGGCTACAAGCTCTACCTCAATTTCAACCAGCTGTACACCTACTGCTCTATCTCTGTACAAGCTCTACCTCAATTTCAACCAGCTGTACACCTACTGCTCTATCTCCGTACAAGCTCTACCTCAATTTCAACCAGCTGTACACCTACTGCTCTGTCTCTGTACAAGCTCTACCTCAATTTAAACCAGCCATACACCTACAGCTCTATCTCTGTAGAAGCTCTACTAGTCTACTTTAATTTAAACCAGCCATACACCTACTACTATATTTCTGTACAAGCTGAGTGTCAAGCTCTACCTCAATTTCAACCAGCCATACAACACCTACTGCTCGATTTCTGTACAAGCTCTACCAGTCTACCTCAATTTTCACCAGCCGTACATCATCGGTACATGGTACACCTACTGCTCTATTTCTGTACAAGCTCTATCTCAATTTCCACCAACTGTGCACCTACTTCTTGATCTCTGTGCAAGCTCTACCTTAACTTCCTCTTCTTTGGACCTAGCGCTCTATCTCAAGCTCTACCTCAACCAGGGTTGGCAATGATTAAATCAAACTGATTAAATCATATAATATTTGTATAAAAATTCATGCTTTTTTATTTATTTGATTTTTTAATAATATAAGTACTTATATTATCAGTCTGCTTATTTCACAAGTTCAGAAGGAATTTAAAAGCAAAGAAAACAGCATGCAAATTCACCATATTGATATTGAAAACATTTCAGAGTCCAGCTTCATCATCAGTTTGAAAAACTAAAAATGAATAAAATCATATTATAAGTCAAAATTCTAAGACAGACATAAAACCTTAACAAGACCTTGATAGGCTAACATTATATCAAAAAACAGGACTCAATTAAAACAACTTAGTCCTCGGGTTTACAAAAAGAATATAAAAGCCTAAAGAATAAAAGATTCATTATTTCCAGATTATATGAAGTTATGAACTAAACGCATTATTGAGAGTTGAGACATGGTTTTTGTTTGAAGATATGTAGAGGTTCCAAAATTCTCATATCCAAGCAGCCAGAAATGGAACCCAGTATCCTGAAATCATTCTCAGTTACAGGCGGCCACTGCATAGTGGCAAACCAGAGCTTTTTTGGAATCGGTTAATTTTTAATTTCCTCAAAAACTCAAGATTTAAACCAATTTCTTAAGTATGATAATGCTGGTATCCATGATACTTTACTGGTCTACTTATAGGACTCAAAATGAACTTGAGGGAGAGCCGGAGAGTCTAAAAAATTCTCTGCTTTGTCACTAAGATTACAGCCACGTTGCACTGTTCAGCATGGAGTCGCACGGAAGAATGACTATGAGGAGGTCTGGAGAGAGGCAAGTTAGAACGATAGCTCCTAGCCTCCTGCCACCGTGCCACGGTGTTCAGAAACCCAGATGTAGAAGTTACGCGACGTCATTCCAACGTACGAAGATGCGCAGCAGTGCAGCACGCACAACTCAACTCATAGACCAGGTGTGATCGCATCCGGGCAGGAATAGCATCCTTATACCTGAAGAAAGAACCAATTTTGAAATTATTCATCACCACTGCCTTGATTCGAATGGACTATCATGATCCCTTCCCTGAAGAACGTAGCCTACAACACTTCTTGACTGTAACATTATCAGACGAGCGCCACCAGACAGATCACATCCATTGAACTATAGTTACTATACCAATCAGCCGTATCTTCCCGTGTGTCGAATCAGCGTACGGTCGAACGGGGTCGCCTGCCGAAGACCACCACTGCCCTGGATGTAATGGCCGTAGGCCGTGGGTCGAACCAGCCCTCGTTAGAACGCCCACTTGTGGAAGGACGATAAATTGTGGAACAGAACTATGCTATCTGAAACCTAACCTCAGATGCGGTGAGCGTAAAATTACGTAAGTTAACGATGCCTGGAAGTCATATTCGATCCGCGGCCTGGTGGTGCACGGCGGCAGGTGGTGGTCAAGGCCGGAAACGAACGGCCAATACCCTTAATTTAACGCATCCATTAGGTCAATTTACAGAATGTTCACTACGGTAATATATCGCAGATCAACCATTGGCGTAATTCACATTCTGTCAGTTTTTTATATGTACATGCCAAAGTAGTTGACATTGGTATCCTGTCTACGGATGAAAACTGACCTGATATTGTTGAAATAAATTCGCGATTTTGAAACGTATTATGAAATTTCCTTGTATTCCATTATAAGAAAGAAAAATCAAGCCTCGTCTATGGAGTGAAGTAAAACAAGAAGATTGTTAAATTCTGAATAATTGTCATAAAATTGTTTTTAAACGCTTCTCAAAACATAAGTCATGAAAATTTTTGGGTTTTAAGCTTACGGGTTACAATAGCGTCATTTCCTCAATAAAACTGTTTTAAATTGCACTAATTAACATTGTTGGATAGAATTTGCAGTAGTTAAATGAAATGTACAGACTGAAAAAATAATATTATTGATTAATAATAGTAATGCCATATGTTCATCTGGCTCAGAGTTTGCGCGGTAAATAGGAAACACTTTGAAAGAAGTTTACACAGTTAATTTTTAAATTTTTTTCCAAGCTGGGAACAGAAAGGTTGCTTGGCGCGTTCAGCGTAGAACAGCTATACGATATATTGTATAGCTGCGTACGCTTCACATTTCATTAACGCAGGTCGCAGATCATTATAGATTATTATGATTATAATTAGATTCAAAACATTATAACGGCACACAATACACCTACACAACCCTATTCTTTATTAGAAAAAATTTAATCACACTTAGACAACTGGACACAACACGTAAAGAACGCCGTCGACACCTCAATCCCCGCTATAACACACCGCATTGTTATTCCTGGCATAGAAACATTATACAGATACAAATTCAAGTAAACTCTTCAATATGTCGGGGATAGCACCCGACCACATCTAAATGCGTTTCGAGTTTGACTCCGTTCCAGGGTTTTCAAGGCCAGAGTAACATGAGTTATGCTAACAGGAACAGGTTGAAGTTAACTAAGGCGGCTGAATTAAATTGTCGGTAATGACAGCAAAATTAAGATTGCCAGCAACTATTATTAGTTCGGGTGACCTGCTCAATGATGGTGTCACCAGGACGAACTGTGAGAGCAGGGAACGTGGTGATGACGAGGTGTCAGGAGCACGTGGTGATGACGAGGTGTCAGGAGCACGTGGTGATGACGAGGTGTCAGGAGCACGTGGTGATGACGAGGTGTCAGGAGCACGTGGTGATGACGAGGTGTCAGGAGCACGTGGTGATGACGAGGTGTCAGGAGCACGTGGTGATGACGAGGTGTCAGGAGCACGTGGTGATGACGAGGTGTCAGGAGCACGTGGTGATGACGAGGTGTCAGGAGCACGTGGTGATGACGAGGTGTCAGGAGCACGTGGCGTGGTGAGATGCACGTGGCGTGGGGAGATGCACGTGGCGTGGGGAGATGCACGTGGAGTTGCAAGAGACACGTGGAGTTGCATGTTGTTGCGATGATGTTGGTACCTAGGTGCAGATTGTTGATGATGTTACATCATCAACACGTTGTTGTGGTTGTTGTTGCTTGGTAGGTGCTGACGTGATGTCGCTGCGAAACAGAGCTATGTTAATTATGAACCCACGATTCAATTTAGTAAGCAAGCAAGTTATCACGCGAGCCTAAGACATAGCAAAATCGACTAACACAGAACCTTGCACTGTGTCCAGATTCCATCTATAACGGCTATACTGCATTGAGCACAACTGCAGATAAGGGTAATCATAAAGGCACCGTTTATAAGTTAGCCAGCTTACCACAATCCTACTGGCGCTGCTGCTGGAATAAAATTAAGCACTGAGTTGATAGAAGTGAGCTGAGAGAGACCTACCGGAAAAAAATGTTGCGAACGGAAGCGGATACTTTCTGTACTCTTTTCATAAATATAAAATTAGTTATGTAGCGAGATTCGCTACATACCTGCTTCTGTCGACCGCAGGAATTTTTACAATTGCATTCCATCTCTTCTCTGTCCCCACCTCCCCGCCCTATGTTCCCCAGTATGGCGTGCTCTACCTATGAGAGGTATAGTAGAGTTAGTCAATTGTTGTGTTTGGATGAATTTTCTACAATATATCGGTGGCCAGAGGGAGTGCTACGAGTGCTAGTGGTTAGTGAGCGGCATAAGGACTGGTCAGGAGCTGCTCACGACTGCTAAGAGGTTACAGGTGGCCCAGTGGTTACAGTTCAGAGTACCAAGATTAGTGCAGAGAGGTGT